TTGATGGGTGTTCTTGAGGTTTTGTAAAACTTTCCGATGAATTCACCCCACTAGGGTGTTAGATTCTAGTGTATAATGATGTTATAGCTTACAATTCTATAAAAAAAAATTACCTCAGTCGTGGCCTAAAGAAGGTCCTGCGTGACTACTTCGATGGGAGAAGCAAGAGAAGTAACGCGCCTCTGTTTGTTATAGGCTTTAAGCCTTTTTCTTTGCCTCTGCTAAGCGTGACTAAACAAAACTCATGTTCTGTTTTGCTGGAAGGCTTTAAGCCTTTTGCTTTTTGAAAGTGCTTCTTGGGTCTACGGCCTTGAACCTTTTCTTACAACAGCCCATTTTGGGCTTTAGGTTAATTTCTTTTTTTTTTTTTGACTTAACTAATAATTAATGTTACCCACATTTTAATAATTAATAATATTAAAAATTATTAATATTTCTCCTAATTGTATGTCCAATTATTTATAAATAGAAAAGTAACTCAAAATCAATCACAAGGGTTTAAATCCGTAATAGAAGTATAATTTAAGATTATAAAAGTTAATTCTATATTTAGCGTGTCTTAAAACTTTTATAGATTTGAGGAGTGTTACATTTTTTCCATTTCGTTAAGTTTTTGATGGAATTATGCCTACTCTAAGTTAAGGTTAATAGGTGCTTAAGCACCCAAAATTTGTATATAAATCCGCCCCTGATGCTATTGAGCGAGGAATACCCCTCGTCTCATCTAAGACGGCTAAATGCATCTTAAAATGTCACGAGTTTAAATTTTTATAATATCTTGAACATTATTACCTAATTGGAATTTCGAGTTTAAATCTTAATTATCTCTTGACCACTATTACCTAATTGGGTCATCCTTGTTCACTACGTTAACAGTAAAATTGATTTTTTATAAGATTTAGACATAATGTTAAAAACACACATTTTATATATCTAGCAAAAAAATTTTTTTCCAGTACTCCTTATTGTTTATTAAGCAAACAACACATACTGATACATTTGGTAGCTATTATTGCCACATTCTTTTCTTGAAAGAGGATTTTTCAAAAAATTTCGAAATTCTTTAAATATGAATAATATTATGGTTTTCAATACTTCTTAAATTTCTACTATAAACGAAGTGTTCAATCTCACACAAGAAATCGAATATTTTGATCCTTGCACTCTAACTCCTATCATTCTTTTCGAAATATAGTATTCCTGTGTCTTTATTTTAAATATATAGTAATCCTATTGTACAAAGCTCCCTGCTAGGATGCATTAGAGAAAATAAGGCATGTATTACCTTTTGGTATTATTAATCCATTGTTTGGTATACTTTTTCAACTATGTATTATTAATGCAAGTATTCTATGTATAATTGATACATAGCAAATCATGGTATTAGCAATACCAAGGCTAGTAACGCATGCATTAGCATAGTTAAAAATAAAATTGTCCTTAAAGTCCCTTAAAGCTAAAGAATATGGAGGGCATTTTTGTAACCAACTAATTTTCTTACAAATTATGCAATGCATTTTAATTTTTAATACACCACACCAATAGTGGATAAGAAATAATTTCTGCAGAACTAATGCTTGCATTACTAATCCATGCAGCATTAATACACCTTATTCAGCATTATTCTTATACACCACCGACCAAAAATGTATAAGCTCAGCAATACTAGTATACCACACATCTAAGTCCTAGCCCAAAACCTATCAAAGAGGTAATAACACTAAATTAGGTTGGTCCAATCTTGGCCTAAGTTCGGTAATCCTCTAAAAACCCAATATATCAATTTTTTCAGCATTCTATTTTTTTTCAACTGAATTAATATTTAATATTTAGTTTAATTTACATGTTTGCAGTGAAATAAACATTAAATCAGTTGTAAAACATCAGTTTCATAAATCTGAAAACACTACGTATAAGTTTAGAAGGTGAATATTTAAATAAGTTCTTACATTTAAAAGTTACAAACATCAAAATACTATTATTAATGAAATAATATCAAACATTTTGACACGTATAAAACGTTGTACGAATAGCAAAAGAGAAAGCAAAAACAAAATAACATATTGTGGGCTGGGCTTAGAGGACAACCTAATAGCCCACAATGATTTAAACCGAGAGTGCTTACGTGGCTTGTTAGATATGGCCAACATTCAAATATACAGCAGCCAAACTTTCCGGTGACTTAAAGGAATCCCATTTTTTGACTCATAATAAAATCCTACATAATTAATTACATCGCTTCTTTTAACTGACATTTTCCTCCATTTCTCCAATCCATTCCGCCGCCATATTGCGGTTCCATAAAATTAGTGATCGAATGTCAAATTTTAATAAGAGATCATATACTTTTTTATTAGTATGTATACACATATATATTTTAAAAAATTAATTTTGCTTTTTTTTTTTATCATACTTACTGTTTATAGTATATATTCTTAAATGACATAAAATCTTTAACTTCTTATAGTAATATTATTATTATATTAGAAAAAAATAATTTAAATAAATAAAATGTCAGACATGTATTTGCAATATGTTACTTTTGATATTCTTGTAATTACTAATATAAAAATTTAAGTAATTTAATTCAAAGTATTAAAAATAATTTTATTATTAAAGAGTAGAAAAATTTGTTTCTTTTTCATAAATTTTTATATTTTTTATTTTTTCTACAAACATTAATATTGTCTAATTTGAAATAAAATTATAAAATCCATTATTAAAAAATTTGGGGGACCAAAATCAAGGCTTTACTAGTCTCCTACTAGAGTCATTTGTCCACCCGTGACATTCTCAATCAAATTTATAGAGTATCACTTAAGATAAGGCAACAATGACAAGAACATTAATGGCAGCGAGTGTGTCATTCAATTACCAAATGTGAGTGAAGCTGGTTGAACAATACGTTCATGGTAGTGCAGTAGTCTGTAAATAATTGTTGATTGTCAATAAGGGACGGCTCAACAAAACTGGTGGCCTAAAATCAAAATATATTAAATAGACCGTGAAACTTCTTTTATAAAGTTCATATAATATTGAGACACAAAAAAAACATATATGACTTTGATCTAGTGGTGAGAGTGCAATTCATGATATGTGAGTTATGCACACGTCATATGGTATTGAATCCTTCGCTTAAGTAAAAATGATATAGGGTGAGCCTATTATCCATCGTGTTTCGAATCTTGCGTCATTGGTCTCGGGAATTTCTTTTTTATAAAAGATGAGACACAAAAGAACTTGCTTTCTGGTGGTGGATCAATCAAATGTGATTAAAAGAATAGTTAATTTAGAGAATTTGAGTTAAAATTAAAAAGTAAAATCGTGAGAACCATGAAAAAGGACTATACATAAAGAAATAAAAATAAAGTTGATGAGAAAATAACTATATATTACTTAATTTAACGAGAAAATCCAATTAACTCACTTAATCTTACGCCTACCAAATATTAAAAATTATTAAAATTTGATTTTATAAATAACTATATAAATATAAATTATGAAATATATATTATTTTGGGGGCCTTAAATATTTGGGCGCTAAAGCAAGGGCTTCACTTGCCTTAACCTTGACCCGCCCTTGAGTCCGCCGCCGCTTCCCGCAAAAATGAACACTCCAGCACTTTCTGTCCGCCACAACCATTTCCTCCACCGCGGCGCCACCGCCATTCCACGACCACGCTCCATCACCACCTCCACCTCCCCTTTCCGCGTCCGCATGTCTCTCCAAGAGAACGGCCCATCCGTTGCCGTCGTCGGCGTCACCGGCGCGGTCGGTCAAGAGTTTCTCTCCGTTCTCTCCGACCGTGATTTCCCTTACCGTTCACTCAAACTCCTCGCAAGCAAAAGATCAGCTGGTAAATCAATGAAATTCGAAGACAGAGATTATACAGTTGAAGAGCTCACGGAGGATAGTTTTGAAGGGATAGATATAGCATTGTTCAGTGCTGGCGGTTCTATTAGTAAGAAATTTGGACCGTTAGCGGCTCAAAAGGGGACTATAGTGGTGGATAATAGCTCGGCGTTTCGAATGGATGAGAACGTGCCTCTCGTGATACCCGAAGTGAATCCTGAAGCAATGGCGCATGTGAAGCTAGGTTCTGGAAAAGGAGCGATTATTGCTAATCCCAATTGCTCTACTATTATTTGCTTGATGGCTGTTACTCCTCTTCATCGTCGTGCTAAGGTGACAGTTTGATCTATCATGTTCTTTTTCCTGGTATGTTTAAAGATGGTAAGTTGCTTGTTTGACTGAATACGGAGTTTTAGATACACAAAAAGAAAGACTAAGGCTTGTGATTTAAAATAAGCTATAAACATTTATATGGTTATGAATCATATCGTTCAGGGTAAAATATGAAGTTTAAAACTAAATTATTTCTAAATATTGAAAGGTCCGTTCTTTTTGGGATGAACTAAAAAGGAAAGTGTACCATATAAAATGGGGCAGAGGGAATGGTGGAAATGTTGAGAACATCTTGTTTAGATAACTGTTAATATGAGAATTAGATGTTTCATGTACTTTTGTTGTTTAGAGATTTGTATGATTACTGCTAATATGAGAATTAGATGTTTCATGTACTTTTGTTGTTTAGAGATTTGTATGTTAGTAGAAATTTTGGAGAACGTCTGGTTTAAAATTGTTAATTTGAGGTAGATAGGTTAGTAGAAATTGTGGAGACTGTCTAGTTTAGAATACGGTTAATTTAGGAATTACATCATTGGTGTATTTTAGTTTGTGTAGATATTTATTTGGCATGTCTGGAAAATATGTATAGAATTTTTAGTTTAGAGTACAGTAATTTATGTATTAGATCTTTCATGTCCTTTTAGAGTTTGATTCGACATGCAATTTTTCGTTTACGATTTATATATGAACAATGTCTTTCTTGTGGTAATTGTTACTTTCTTTGTTTCAATATACGTGACGTAGTTTGAGTTGACTTGGAGTTTTGAAAAAAAATGAAAACTTTCGAACTTGTGGCCTGAAGCATGCCATAATATTTGTGTGGCTAAGACATTTCAAATTTGTGGTCTAAAACATTTCATAACATTTGTCTAGCTTATAGAAGTTCTCATTAAGAGTAAAATGGGTACAATGAAAATTTTAAAGTTATATTATTTTTAAATACATAAATGCACCCTTCTTTTGGAACAAACTAATAAGAAAAGCGTGTCATATAAATTGGAACCGAGGGAGAACTTCCTTTTACTACATTCAACCCCAAAATTTGGGGTCTCCGTATACATCCTGCTCTATTTGGAAGTGTATTTAGTGAATTCATCATTATTATATTATTTTTATCTGGCATATGAACCGGTTGTTACTTGCAAACTGACATATACATAGTGCTCTTCTATTTCTTATAAAAAAAATAAAAACAACAATAGCAACACATTTAAAAAAAAAAATCAAATAATAGTGCCAGTGCGCATATAGATGATCAAAAAGTTTAGGCTCTGGCTTTTTCCTATGGAGATAGAAGTTTTTTTTTTTTTATGAAGTGGATATTGGAGGTGGCTGATTGTTAGGATTGCTATAATAGCTTGTTTTGATTGTCTGGTTTAAGAGCAATTAATTTGAGGCTAGATATATTGGTAGAAAGTTTAGCGGATGTCTAGTTTAGACCACGGTTAATTAGAGAATAGATCATTGGTGTCCTTTAGGGCTCGTTTGGTACGAGGGATAAGGGATAATTAATCCCGGAATTAAATTTGAGATGAGTTTATCACATTTGGTTGGGATAAAATCGTGGTATACTAATCCGGGATTTGGGCGTAGGCCTCCCAAAAGGTACGGAGGCGTGCGAAAGGTTTCCTCGGGCCGGACGGAGTAGTTGGCCCCGTCGCGTGCAAAGGCAGAAGGGAGCTGACTGCAAGCCCAACCGTCGAGCGAGGGACGAAAGTCGCGTAGTCGNTCCGACGTGCCGAGTGGAAGGGCCGTCGCTCGAACGGATAAAACGTCTCGTAAGGGATAACGAGGCTGACTCTTCCCCCGAAAGAG